TATTCATTATGTTATTATGATTAAACACTATTATATTATGTACATTCGCTATTGTATTATGGTCAAACACTATTATATTATGTACATTCGTTATGTTATTATGATTAAACACTATTATATTATGTACATTCGTTATGTTATTATAATTAAACACTGTTATATTATGTACATTTGCTATGTTAATATTATTAAACACTGTTATATTATGTCTGTACTATACTGAATAAATGTTAACGTTTTCTATAAAATTCCAGTTCCCAGAATGCACCACATATTGTAATGAGCATGTTCCATGACCCCCAGAGGTCCAGCTTTTATAAACCACTGGACTATCATCCATAGGTTGTTTGAGTGCAAGTATTCTGTCAATATGGAGGTGCATTCTGAGATGGCAAAAGTACTAGTAAGTCTCAATCTTGCAAATGTAATTGCAAAATTTGAAGAGGAAAAAATAACACCTGATATTGTTTGCAAACTATCAAACACAGATTTCCAGTCGCTCGGTCTACATAACACACGGGATGTGATGGCTTTGAGAACAAAATGTACAACATATGGATCATTAGTACCAAGTAAAGAGTATCAAGGATGTGGCCCACCTGAATTTTATATACCAAAAGAAATCTTACAAAAACATTTAGAAGAAGAGTTCAGTATATGTGAAATCGCATCCATGATGGCCGTTTCTCGAAGTACCATCATTAGGAGGATGCGAATGTATGGCCTGAGCGCAATGGAATTCACAAGTATTTCAGATAATGATCTTGACATTCATGTACGTCAAATATCCCTTGAATATCCTTTCTGTGGGGAAAATATGATAAAGCATCTCCTTAGAGAAAAAAGTGACATAAAAGTGCAGCGTATGAGACTTCGTGATAGCATTCACAGGGTAGATGAAACCGGGGTGCAGGCAAGAAAAAACTGTCGGCTTCAGCGCAGGGTGTACAATGTGAAAGGACCAAACCAGTTATGGCATGTGGATACTAACCACAAACTTATAAGATGGGGTTTTGTTGTACTTGGCTGTATAGATGGGTTCAGTCGCTTGCCAGTAATGTTGGCATGTAGAGACAACAATAAAGCACCTACTCTTTTAGAGTGTTTCAAGAATTCTGTGAAAGTGTACGGCCTGCCAAGTAGAGTAAGATCGGATAAAGGATTGGAAAATGTTGAAATAGCTGATTTCATGATACAATCTCGTGGTACACACCGTGGAAGCATGATAACTGGGAAATCTGTACACAATCAACGCATCGAGAGACTGTGGAAGGATGTATTTGAAGGTGTTCTTGGTTTTTATCACCAGATGTTCAATTTCATGGAAGATAGGGGTATTTTAGATCACATGAATTCGATTCACCTAGTGTCACTTCATTACATTTATCTTTCAAGAATCAACGAAAAGTTGGGAATCTGGCAAAGGGCTTGGTCAAACCACAGAATGCGGACAACGCGGTCATCTCCCTTACAATTGTGGATATCAGGTCAACTTCAAAACCCAATCGGCGTTGAACTTTCAGCTGATGAAATTGAAAGTTTTGGTGTAGAAGGAGAAGTTCACGAAAATTCCAACTTTGATACAAGACCGATTCTACAACCACTTTCATTTGAATTCAGTGAGCAATGTAGAGAAGAATTAATACACAGGGTACCAGTCAACCAGCCAACACGCAATCATGGCATTGAATTATACCAGAATGCCTTGCAAATTATCAGTAGGCATGCCAATCATCATTAGTAGATTTAACATGATGTGTGATTTACAATAGAACTGTATATTATAAATAAATATTTGTTGTTGTTGAGAAAAATGGCAATCTATCAATTCTAACTCGCTACCATATCTATTAAAATGTTGTAATTTATTCGTTATGCTAATCAAAATATAATATAAACATTCTTCATGTTTCCTCCATTCTTTAATGTTTTTGTAATAGGTAACATTTATTTCGAGCCTGAAATATGTACTCTTTTAATTTACTTAAAGGTACATGAGAAAAGCATAGTGTTTAATAACAAGCAGCCTGTTGGCTGAGATAGCTCCGCTGTTAGCAATGCACATGTCGGAAAAGTAAAACATTGACACGGACGATGATGGACAATCACTCATATGATCACGTCCACTCGACAAAGTCACCAGCAGAGCTAAAAACTGCTACTCATTAACTTTAGGGACACTGTAAATGAAGTGGTTGTACAGCTTTAATGATACATTTCGTTTACCATTAATTTGCATTGTTGTTGCACTAAGTATTCTAAAGAGATTTAAAAGTATTATTAATCCTGGATTTGTTAATAAACATGTGGACAGTTCTGGGCTGTTAGATTTTTCAGCGACTGTCATCTACAAGAAACTGATTTACATATCTTC